TTTATTTTAAATGAAAAAAGATTATTGAAATGATGGCAACAAAAATTATGTGATTACAAATACATACGTCGAGACCAAACTATATGAACCCTTCCACCATCTTTTGAGGTAAACTGTCATGTATTAGTTATAGTTTAATATATACAGAAATACCAAATAACAAATAAGAGTTGAAATGTATGAGAAGTGAAACTATTAAAGATCTTGTAATTAATTTTTGTAACCTTCTCAAATTCTTATTAAAGAGAAATAAATATTTATAGCACAAGGGAAAAATAAAAGAATTATATTGTGTTTTATAAATTTAAAAGTTAAATAAAAACTAAACTTACATTTTGTTTAAGAAATTTTATAGGATTTAAGAGTGCTTAAAACTTTCAAAGGAATAGTTTCAAGATTTTAAAGTGATGAATAAAATTTTGATTTACATCTAACAAATTATTTGATTCATATCGCATACATATAAGTTTAAAATATCATTAAAAATATTTCCAAATTATTCATTATAACAAAATTTTTCAAAGTATTATAAATTATAAAATCTGACATGTAAGATATTTACAGAACTTAGTCAGTATAAAATGTAATTAGAATAAAATATTACAAAATTTCAAATTATTTTAGTCACTACAAAGCAATCTTCCTTCTAATATCACTGGATTATGATCCTAGAACGGACCAATCTTCCTTTATTTCTCTTCAAATTCATCTCCTGAAATAATTAATAAGAGTGAGTATTTTCTATCCCATTAAATCTCCTATTTGATAGAATAATTTAAATGAAATCAAAAATATTATTGAACACAATTTATTATATACGCAATAATAGTAACACACACAGGTCATACCAACAATTTTTATAACAAAGCACATATACTAAATCCATCATATTTCTACAGTGATTTGTATATCATAATACTTGTATTATATCACATCAATCAATATGTCACAATACATGTATCTTAATCACACCTATCAATGTATTACAACACATATATCATAATAACATTAATTAATATGTTACGATGTATATATTATAATCACGCATTTTCTATATTACTTAATATTCATCACACTTTTATATTCATTGCTCATGGGATCTCTTGAGTACTTCATAGCATAGATAGCTGCTGATTTGCCGCAGCAACACAGATACATATGTGCTAACCCAACCTTTTTTAGCAAAGATGTAGTCAAGGGTTTAGGTTAAAAAAATGAGTGTGAGGCCTATGGTTTCTTTTCTCTCCATTTTCATTGATTTTGCGCAATCATGGAAAAGCATCCACTATCCTCATTTTTTTCCAAATTTTCACTATCGTCCCCGTCTTTCACACCCTAGTGTATCTCTGTCACTATCTATCCTTATTCTTAACATTTCTCATATCATTCTCTATCTTTTTCATAGATTAATGTGTCATAATACGTGAGTTTTGATCATATAACTAAATGTATTACAATACATGTATTATGAGTATACCTTTCATTCACTTTCATACATAAAACTCTTTCTTTATTTAAGAAGAGTCAAGCACTTTTCATCAATAACATAATTTCACCCATTTCAACATAGATCAGTCATCAAACAATTTCACACTACACAAATCAATATAATGTGCTGAAAGTCGGACACTTTCAGACTCAATCCAGGCATACAATTTAATATACACACTCTCTCGGCATTAATAAAATGGTCTATCATAAAGTTCAATATTACTTGCTTATACATAAATAATAGTAAAATCTTAAAAATTCCTCAGAAACTTAGTTACTCATCATTTTTACTATAAAATTTTATCTAGATACCCAAAAGGAATAAATTATTGGTTTCTCATACCCAAAATTTCATTTTCAGTACTAAAATCTAAAGAATCATTAGAGTTCTATTATCCAAAACGAAAATACCCAAAAGGGGATTTTCTCATAGAAAATTTGTTTTTTACACCATGATTTTACGGAAAAACTGTACAATTTTGTTACTTAGAATCAAGTAATTGAGTTCTCTAAATTAAATTACTTAAATAAGACTTAGGGTTTAAGATCAACTCCCTTACCTAGATATAGGTCTCTCCAACTGAATTTTTCCTAGGGGTCCAGAGGGAGAGGTACAACATTCCGAGAGAGGATATCAACTTGTGGTTAATGTTTCCTTAAATATTACAAAGTATAAAATTTTAGATAGGATAAAACTGAGAAATAACAATGAAGTTGAAGAACCAAACTCCAAGAAACTTACTTGGATCTAAATGGTTGAACTTTCAAGCCCAGATTTGAAAGAAGATTGAAGCTTAGAGGAAGGTCTTTAAGAAAAGATAGTGAGAGAACAGGGGAGAGGTTGAGACTTAGGATTGTAAGCTAAATTTTCTAGGTTGAAGACCCCTTAAATACCTTTTAACTCATGATATTCTGCTACAGCAAGCTATCTCTTGCTATAGCGAGTCTTTCTCTCACTGCAGCAAAAAAAATTAGACAAAAATTTTTCATTGTTATCTATCATTCTAGTTACAGCGAAAACCCCTGGCTACAATAAAAGCTCCTTACTGCAGCGAGAGAATTCTAGCTACGGCAAGAATGTTGTTAGGTCATCCTTATCCACTTCTCGCTACAGTAAGAAAGTGTCATAGAGCTTGATTCTGGACACTTTTTCTTACTATAGCGAAATACCCTACACCAAAAATTCTTATTTTTCTATACAAAGACAACAAAATTGAAGGTGTTATAAGTTTGGTAAACAGTGGATGCCAGCATTTGAAAGTCTGAAATATGTAAGCCTTTCCTTTTTTTTTAGTATTGATGGCTATACTCCATTCCAAAATTGACTATATATTTTCTTAATTAGATTTATACACCAATTGAAGAGTGCCGTAGACATTAGTACCTAAGTGTTATCTCAATTGAAGAACAAGTTGTTTATCACTTGGATTCTTATGTTGAATGACACAATGTGAATCCAAGGCAGTACACAATAAGGAAAGTGGTAAGTACCTTACAATAGTGAAATTTATATTTCAAATGGTTTAATTCATTGAAAATTTACAATGTGAAACCATTTTTCACACAACAAAATTAAGCTTTTATTTGTGTAACTATCTCAGTAACGTTCTACAAGATGTACTTGATTGGAATATAATTGAGGCATCTGGAGTTGTCAATAATATAACTATAGGTAAAATTATAATGTTTAGTCTCTTATACTCTTACTATAGTGTTATAATATTTTGTAAATTTCTTCTTTGGTTAGATACTATAATTTTGTATGGTGAGTATTGGATTGGATGGATATGGAAAATGTCTTCTCACTTAATCTCCATAGGCAAATGAGTTACAATAAATAAAATATATTTTAGTTATAGTTTTTCTTTAAAATTTTAGATAATGGTTAAAATAAATTACACTTTTAAGAAATTTATGAATGTTATGTTTCAGCTGGACAGGGATACTGTAAAAGTAAAAATCATAATCAAATTGTTAGAAAGATATCACAATGAAGCAAAGTCTAAGTTAGAGTCTAATGTGAACAACCTTAACCACACCTATGCATGTTCAAGAGCTACAAAGTGATTATTAAACATAGAAAAATTAATTTGTAATAGAATAAATTATGATTTCTCTTTGTACTTGTCTATCTTTTATGTTGCATTTCATTGTAATAGCCTTCACCAAAATTAATTATTTTAAAAAGAAAGTTGAAATAAAAATAAAAAGAAAGTCATTAATTTATTTATGGAAAATTTCTAATAGTATAAGAATTTTTGAAAGATCTATTGAGGAATTCCACCCAAATTGATGTGACATGGTGTATGTTGTTCCCCAGCGTGTGTGTGTAGGTGAGAGCAAATGTGTGCCCCTCGTTGAAAGAGAAAAAGTAAACCCCCGTCGTCCTCGCTAATAGGAAAACAAATCCAATTAGTGCTTTTTACCGACCGAGAAAGAAGCTTCTTCATCCCGTGGGTGAGGAGAAAAGGCCAAAGAAAAAAAGCAAGAAGATAAAACCAAAGAAAGACAATTTTTATAAATTTTTTTCTTATTTGATATATTTATTTTTTTACTATTGAATTATTTGAGAATTTTTATTTTTCTTTCTTAAATTTTTTATAAAAAGAAAGTTTATTTCTATCATTTTTATGTCTATTTTATTTTTACTTATTTATTTTATTTTAATTTTTTTCTTTTCTATTATTCTTAAATATTTAATATATTTTTATAGATCTTATTTATATTATCTCTTATTTTAGTTTATTTTTTAAAAATGATGTTATTGAGATAACTGAAATGCATAACAAATATATTTGTGTTAAATATTTACTTATATTTAAATTGACTAAATTATTTATTTAGTAAAAAATTAACCAGACAAAATTTAGTGTTTACAATGAACAAAAGCAATGTGTCCTAAAGAAATGGAACGTTTTCATATTGAACCATATCTTAGATTGAGGCCAATGATAAATTAAGCATGAGTCATGTCAACCTATTCTTGAAATATATCATTTATTACATAATGATCATCGAGCTTCTTTGTTTGAATTATATCCTTCTTTGGTTAGTGTATTCTTGTGAGAAAGATGCTATATTTTATTTGCCATTCTACTTATTTAGTAGACAAGCTTCTAATTGATCAGGTTCAATTTCTTTTATTAAAAAAGGCTTTAGTAATTGGAACAAAGTAAACAATGGAGAAAATTGTTAACTTTTAAATCATGTTGAAAAAAAAGCCAAATCCCCAACATTATAAAGTTGTTCAGTCCTATGAGGCTTTATTGACAAAATCACAGCATGTTGATAGGTTTGTTTATTAGAAAGCAAGCATCAGAAGAGATTGTAGAAATCGACTTAGACTCAAAGCTTCCATTGATTGTCTTAGATGGTTAACTTTCAAGCTTGTGCCTATAGAGGTCATTATTTGGCCTCCTCAAGAAAACCGGTCTTGCTTCGTCCCTCTACAAGAGCATGAAAGAACTTGATAACATGACAGTACAAGAGGGTCATAGCTATACACTATCGGAGAAATTAGATATTGGAATTAGATGCAATTGCCTTGGTGTGGGAACATACAAAACCCATACAAGGCTAAACTGTCCCCTTATTCTTACATGTTTTTACCCTTATGATAACTGGAAAACTATGAACAGTTTGTATTTTGTAATCCACTCTGGCATTTGCCATCATGAAGAGGATCATTATTGACCAGTTTCCAACTAAAAGGAAAGTTGAAAAAAATGAATGTACATATAGCATTTAGCATTTTTTATATTAAAAGAGAAATCAATGTACACTGCAACTAACTGTACAGTCTAATTTATGGTCATTTGGACTAACACTGCTGAGTTGAGAAGAAAGAAGAGTGAGCGCTACCTTAGCAAATACATTGTCTGACCTTAAGGCTGCCTTCTGACAATCTTAACGCTGCTGTAGAAGCGCTTTAGATCCTTCATAGCCTTTTCCTCAATTTGAATAGAACGAATTGAGGATGGTGTATCCACTTCTGGCTTGAACCAGCGGTTCATCCCAGTGGTTTCAGATGGTGAGCCTTGACTGGAAGCAATAGTAAATCCAGCTGTTCTACTCTTTGGACTATGAGAAAAACTATTTTGTTTCTTTCCCTGTTCACAATAGAACACTTTGATAAACAACAAAAATACCAAATCAAAGTGCATGTTTGGACTAGCCTTTTTTTCAGGGAAATAATCTCTTATTTGTAAAAGTTGTCTCACAATGTTCCTAACAATAAGTGATTGTTTCCTCAAAATAAGATGAACCAAACATGCATCAGCATTGAATAAAACAGTACAAGAATTCTCAACTGTTGGTTCGCAGCAAAGTCTTTTGAGACAAACACATGAAAGGAAGCGTTGTTCACAAACCTGTTGCATTTGGATGTCCCTAAAAGATGGCTGAGAGAGATGAGGAGGGGTTCCTGAAGCAGCCCAAGGAGGAGTACTTCTTTCTCCATCATATGCTTGGGAGCTGCGAGTTGAGGAAACCGGTATTGGACTGGAAGGAAGAAATGAACTCAACTTTATTCTCCCTGTGCTGCCGGAATCAGAAAGATCGTCCACCTGCTCTTTTCTCCTAGCTGGCAGATTTGCTTTGATTTTGCTTTGTTCATCCTGAATTTCACGAATAGAAGCAGAACCCTTGATGAACTTGGCTCCACCCCATGCAGGACTCTCGTTTCTTGGTGTTGGTGGAGGGGGAACAACCTCTTTTGAGACATCATCTAGACCACCACTCAGAAACAAAGAAAGCCCACCCTTCTTGCTCTTCTTAGAAACCTTAGGAGATTGCCTCTTGCTTTTTATAATCTCTAAAGAATCTTTCTTATGTACCATACAAGCTGAATCTCCTGCAACTTGATCAGTGGTGGTGGACCTGGTGGTTTGTTCAAGCATAGTATGATCTTCCACCTATCAAATAAAAATTACAATTTTAAGCAATAAAGGAACCACACAACTAAGTCTTCTCAATAAGATACCAAAAAAGGAAAGGAGAGGGACTCCTTGAAGAATTGTTATTCACAAATATAATAATATCAAAATTTCATTCAACGTGTTTGAGGCATTCCTCCATTTTCATCAAGTGTCCTTGGTAGGTTTCACTACTATCTTGGCTACACAAAAGGACAAAATGACTTCTAAATAAACTTAGAAAATAAACAAAAATATGAAAGTCCATACAAATGACAGCTTTCATGTCTTTATGCCTAAAAAAGGTTCACACTTGATTTACTATTCATCATGTTTCTTGGATACAGTTCATTTATTATATCTGACCTGACACTTGATACAACTTTACAATTCATAATCACCCCTACTGTAACAATCAAATTAGCAAATATTGAAATTTGCCGTTTCCTCATCCTCAAAATTTCCCCTTCTCTTCCTTTGTCACAGACCCGAAAATCATAGAAGAAGATATGAGGTAGAAACAGCAATATTGAGAGAGAATAAGGGAAGTTTGTATTATTTGCAACAGAAAAAAAGAAACAATGCAGAAGAAGAAAGGTTCTTCTAATGCCCCAGAGCAATGCTCCTTACAGAGAGCCAAACAACACTCTATCCCACAATTTTCCAGAAAAACAAAACCGCCCTCCACTCATGATTTAACTTTGCCAACTCAGCACATCTCAAACTTCCTAATTTCTTTCTTTCCTCACATACACTATCCAATACTTGGGCTTGGCTAAAGCTTCATAGATTACTTTCTTCTCAAGCCCATTTTCTTCTCCTCGGTCCCCATCATCCTCATTCAGGTTGCTTGAAAAATATGCTTAGTGCTTCTCTCCTCTATCATCTTCTACTCCTCCACAAGCCTCCCCATGCCCCATGACTCCCTCAACCAAAGTTCAAAAATCATACTATGACAGAGAAGCTCACCTGAGGAATCCAGACATTTTTGCCTGTCTTCCATATGAATAAATATGTGTACCTGCTAAAAATATTGCTGCTTCCAAATCACAATTGTAATCATATCTAATAGATACATTGCCAACTTTGGAGCACCCATTTATCATAACACAAATGGACATGAGCAATCTGTCAATTAATAGTTCCTTCAGGCAGCATTTCTTTAGCCTAGATGCTTATCCGTGGCAACTACCGCCAAGGGTACAATGTAATATTACATCATGGTCAATTTGATCAGTCTATAGCTGTCTTTTAGTCCACAATTGCTTGTTTCAGGAAGCCTCTTAATACATAAGAAAATATCACCAAGAAAAAAATATAATGAAAATATAATTTTAAACAATCTCATTGAATGGCCACTGTGGCTTTGTGCTAGATAACTAGAGCAAAAATGGATGAAAAAATATCAAAAAACTTTAGATGGGCAAAAGACAAATCACAAAACGTCCAAACCATGTCATCCCATCCCCTAAAAGAAAACACCAAACAAAAAACACAGTTAAAATTAAAGAATCAACAATTATTCAAATGAGAAATGCAATCAGAAATGAACCTTTGAGCCAGAAACCTGCAAGATGTTATTGTCCAACAAGTCCTTCGCAGGTTCTGAAGTGACTTCACTTCTATAATAAACAGATTCCAGTTCTGTCTGCTCTACACTTGGTTTGCCACTGTTTTTCCTCTGTTTTCTTGATAGTTTGCCCTTCTTACCATTTTTCCTTTCGAGTGGTACAGAGGACAATTCTTTTGATGTCTCAACAGGAACACCCAATTCTGAGAGTGAGCTCTCAAGTGATGATTTGGATTGAAGCTTAGCAATCTGCTGGTCATCAAGAAGATATCCCTTACACTGCTTAGCTTCGAGAACCTCAATCTGCTGCAACTTCTTCCTTAAGGCTCGAACTACTTTCAAGATTCCTTGATTGGGATCATCCTTGGGCTGCAGAAACAAATCAACTCTTTGATCTTTCTCCAACTTCAATGCAGACATTTTTATGGGAGTCTTTTGAAACTCTATATCACCATAGTCCTCTTCACTATTAGTGATCACTGGGAAAGTAGCAGTTGGACTAGGGAACCGACGGTAACTCCAAGACTCAGATGATCTCTGGTTTAATGTCCTCTCAAGATTTGCCAGAACATCTGGTGAAGCACTTGACATAGCATGTGATGAAATGGTAAATATATAATCCAGGTTACGCAAAACAATCTCCTGAAATAAACAAGAAAAAAAGAAAAAAACTGCTTTAGTATGTTATACCACCATACCAGCTTAAGAGATATAACAACAAAGTCCACTTAAAAATCTGGAAGGCTCAATGATATGAAACAGAAAAACAGTAAAACAGGTTGCCTTAATATTCAAGTTGAGGGAAGGATATTGGCACCACAATCATAAAAAGAGATGAAAAGGTGAGTGATAAGCCATAAGTGAAAACTAAATATTTTCTGTTTCGTAATTAATAACAAGTTAATGATGTCCAAAGAGCGATGAATGAGTGACCAGTTAATAATTTAATTTTATTTAACTACTCAACTAGTTAATTTACCTAAGCTGAAAAGTTTTCCAAGACTTCTTTTCTGCAATTTTACTAATATGATATACTAAACCATTCATGAGCTTTTCAGATTTAACTCCTCTAAAGTGAGATGTGTGAAGTGAGCATATATCCATCATTGATTTGAATTTAAGCATTCATTATATATAATAAACTTTTAAATTAAACGTAAATAAATAGAGTCACTTTCTCACTTTACACATCTCTTCACTTTAGAGGAGCCAAATCCTATCCCTTGCTAATAGCTCAAGTTTTTGGGGCAATTAGCTCATGACACTTAATACCATATGTGAGTGAACAACAAGCAAGAACACGAGCTCTATTAGAAAATACTAATATTACTAAGAGAAGGGGAATTCCTCTACTTTGAGTCGCCTTACTTTCTCTGACGCCCAAAATTTTGCTTTAAATAAAATGGAGAGAAAAACTGCTATTAGAAATTAAACATTTAAGGAATGTTTTTAAATTATTTCTTTTACACCTCATGGTTTTAAATTGGTTTATAACTTTTATGAAATTTAAAAAAATATCTATCATGTGAAATTTTCTCTCTACATTTTAAACAAGTATTATAGGTGCCTCTTCCTGTTTAGTGTTTCACTTATGTACGTGGTCAAGATCAATACCTCACAGTACTTTTTCAAATCATCTGCTCCAAGAGAATCAGCAATCTCAAGCAGTTGTATGGCATTTCTTGGCTCTACCATACACACTGCTGCTACTTTTTCACAAAGACTTTTTAAGCTGGGTATGGATCTCTGCCCAAAAGTATCAGTCTGTATTGCAGATATACCTCTACTGGATTCCAATTCCTCAAATAAAATATCTTCATCTAACTCTTCCATATCATCCCTTTTATTCAACTTATGCTTCTGAGAATTCTCAATAGTGTTGAGAGGATAAACAGGATGATAGAGGGAAGCCACAATTAGTATATGTGTTTCACCAACTGAAACCGAAGTAGCTCTCTTTACACCATACAACCGAGGTGCAACAAGTGGCTTATCCTTACATTTCTCATCCCACATATAAACATCACCGGTATCTGTTGCAGCTGCAGTCCAGTACTTTCCAGAAGATATGCTCACCATATTTCTTCCACACATTGTATATAACTGTATGCAACAGAAAAAGAAAGGAGAGAAATGTCTCTAATCAACATGTTTGTTTCAGGATGACTGGATATCAGTAAAGGAAGAAATTCAGTAAATAGAAACCTGTTGGCATTTAAGTTCTGGATCCGAGGAGACCCAATAAAATAATGCACCATCATCAGTAAGAGCCATGCTGTGTACCATTCCTGCAGCTATAGAAACCACATGAAGTCGTTTCATGCGATGAAACTTTAAAGGAGTGCTTCCATTTTTCTTCAAGTTCCTAGTAACGACTACACGTGTTGGATTAACAAGACGATGACCCCAAGTGTAAACCTACAAAGCAAGGTAAAATAGAACTTAAAAGGTGATCAAAAGCCTTTTATGCTTCAAGAAAAAGAAAAAAAATCATGAATCACAACTATTTGTAACCATTCACTAAATATAACTAAATCATGATGAAAGTTTCATGTGTATGTGCCTAAGAATGATTGTTGTTAAACATAATTTTGTGAAACAATCATTCTGCCCAGTGACTTAGGTCTTTATGTTCCACATCTATATAAGAATAGTTTAAGTAGTAAAACAAAATAGTCACAAAGATAATGCATGCCCCCAACACATAACTTAGATCATAGGCATAGCCACTGTACTTCAGTATTTGTGACAACAAAATCTGTTTAATTAATGCTTTTCTAAATAAAACTTGTTACTTTGGGTTGGGTGTGAATGAGTTCATCCTAATGACAATTCAATAGACCAGAATCAGAAGAAAAAGAAGACTAAACACAAAGGGATAAGATGCAAATAAGTATGGAATAAGGCATGCTTGATGAGGAGAGACATTCAAGTAACAAACAAAAATATATACAACATTAATTTCATTAGTAACATCAGACAGTTACCAAGTTATTAACTTCATGGGCAAGGCATCAATCACCATATTAAGTGTAACATGGACTTTATTTAAGGCTATAATGATTGTACCTATAATTTTCTGATGAATAGAAAAAATTGAGTGATTAACAATATGCAAAGATGTACCTCTCCATCAGATCCTAACACAACTGTATGATATTTTGCAGCAGAAACGCTGATTAATGTCTTTCCCTTCAAGGATTCAACCAAATGTGGAGTGTAATTAGAGGCAGAATTTGAGGTGCCATAACCAAGTTGACCCTCTCTATTGCAACCCCAAGTAAGAACTTCGCCTAAATCAGACACTACAGCTGTGTGCTTGTTCGCTGCAGCAACAGCAATGACTTTGGCCCTCATAGAGGTCACTCGACGAGGTGTGGGTTGTGTATCTACAGCAGTGTATCCAAGCTGTCCCTCTACACAACAAAGAAATCAAAAATATAGGTGGCAATTCATAAATGACTCAAAAAAATATAGTATTTCTTGTATATTTTAAACAATAGTACAAATTATAAAAGAAATACAACCTAATTTTTCCCCAACTATGCATATGATAATTTCTCCAAAATCATATGCATACTTAATAAAAGACTGCTAGGATATTGCAATATTTTGATTGCAAAAAGCGCCGTAGTTTACAATTATAGCTTCTATAGACATAAGTAATATGAAAATTACCTCTGTTGGATCCCCAGGTGAACACTTCCCCACCTTCAGTAGCAATAACCGTATGATGCTTAGCTGCAGCAATTGCCTTCACTCTACGGGAACCCAAACCAATCACCTGGCGAGGAGTAATGACTGCAGCTTGACCACTGAAATGATTAACAATATGAAAACTGATTGATATTGTCCAAAAGCATAAATATATTTTGGTTGTAATCCCTCTTATTAGAAATGGACCCAGCTTAACTGAACCACAAAAGCAAAGCTGAGAGAAAGAAATTGCTCAAAACTTATAAAGTGAATTTTGGCCGTATTACTAGTCAATGTGAAATATTGAAATTAACATCGACTATAGATATGGATAAATAAGAGATTATATAAGCTAAAGCACTTCTCACTTTACGAGCTAACTTTTGGGGTTGAGTTAAGCTTAAAGCTCAAATTCAACATGGTATCAAAGCCTATTATAGATTCAATATTGGGTCACCCTTGACTAAAAACATTCTAGCCCCACAAATTTTCCTAGTGCTATTAACCTGGCCACGTAGAATGTAACTTACCTCGTCCCGCAACTTTCCCAATGCTACCTAGCTAGTCCAATGGCTTATCCAGTGCTATATTAAAAGAAACAGTCCTACAAATCTCATTCTCTAGATGTCTAATCTTGCGCATGAGGGGGTGTGTTAAAATCCACATCAACTATAAATATAGTTAAATAAGAACTTATAAAGGTTAAAACAATCTTCACTTTACAAGCTAGCTTTTGGAGTTGAGTTAAGCTTAAAGCACAAATTCAACGTGAAACACTTTAATGATAAATCCACATTTTACTATATTTTTAACCTAGTTTTTGTTAGTAAATAAGAAGTTAAATAATAAATAAACTTGAAAATACTATAAAAATTGTATTAATATTCATAATTGTATAAATAGTTTAGAATTTTAGATTTTATTCCAATTCTAGACAATTTTGCTTAAAAAAACTTAACTTTATGCAGAAGCTTGAGCTGAAGATGTTTGAGTTGAAGATTAAACTAAAGGAAGTAGAGAAATTGAGCTTAAAAGATGAAAAATCAAGTGTTATATGTTGGGCGTAACCACTTTGTGTGCATAGAGTTAACACTTTGAAGAGGAAAATCTATGAAGATCAAAGAGAGTGTCTACTCTAAGTGCTGAGAGTAGCCACGCGCAGAGAGTGTCCACTCTAACTGCTAAGAGTAGTCACACGCAGAAGAGAGTGTCCACTCTAATTGCTGAAAGTAGCCACTCAAAGCTGCGCGTGGACACTCTGGTCACTTAAAGTAGCCACACAAGGCTTATTTGCACAGAACACATGCGCATGGTCACTCTAAGTGCTAAGAGTGTCCACACAAAATAACAGAATTTGGAAAACTACTTTTAAGTGTCAACTTTAGATGTTTAGAGTTTTCACTTCAGTCTTAGAAGCTTCTAGAAGACTTTCTACGTTATTACTCTCAGTGATTAAAGTATTAACGTGGAAGGTGACGAAAAAAATTATAAATAACTGTTAAGAGTTCGGATTTGGGAATCTTTTGCCATTTTTTGTTTTCTTTTCATTTCTACATCTTAGGAGAGTTAGATAGGGAGATTAGGGGTGACTTCCAAGCTCTGGACCTTGAGAAATCAGGCTGGGGATTGGATTTATGAAGAAATTTTGCAGCTTTTCTTCTCCTACTCTTTCTCTCTCTTTTTCTTTTTAGAAACATGTTCTGATTTCTTTTTGTTAGGAATCTATGGATCCAGATTTGATATTGTGATGTAATTTTGGATCTGGACCTTGAGGTTTTGATTGAATTGAGTATGTGATTCTATTCTTAATGCAGTTGTGAACTAATCCTTCATTCAATTGAACTTAGAGGAATCTTCATCAATGAAAATTGAATTTATTTCTCAGATCTGAATCATATGCCTAAGTTATTGAGATCTTAAGAATAAGTATCATAATCTAGTAATCCTATAATTTTCAGAACTTAATGCAATATTTGATTGAATTTCACCTAAGGAATTAGAGAAGTTTAATTAGGTATTATGATCAATGAGACAAGGAATTGTCTTTTGGTTAAAAAAGTGAAATTGATTATCAATCAATTAGAATTCTTAAGAGTCCAAAATATTATTACATTGCAATAGAAAATCCAATGAAGTGATTCCTAACTATTTTTCATATAGCATTTTAATACAAAATTCGTATTTTGTTTTGCTGTATTTTTTAGATTTCTGCACTTTATTGTTTTTGTTTATTAAATGATTCAAAATACTCTAAATTCGTTTGGCTCAACTAGTTATTGATTTGTGAAGTGGTAATTGATAGACCTAATCACCGAGGACGATACTTGGAACTCATATTGATTTTCAAATTTTATTACTTGCTACAATTACCTAGTACACTTGCTAGCTAATTCTCCAATTTTGTGACACTTAACATACATCCCAAGATTAGATATTTTAAGTTTCTAGTTTACAGGACTGTGGACATTTGCAGGTGACCCCAACATTAAGATTATATATGTTCTAACACCATGTAGCAAATTAATTAGACCTAACTCAAACCCAAAATCTAGCTCAAGAAGAGAGAATTGTTTAAGTTTTATAAGAGTATTTTAGTATCATTCCATTCTAATGTGAGACATCTTAACATCACTATCCCTCATCCCAAGTCTTATAAATACAGTAAAATATTAACACCAATTCAAATAATTTCACGTTGGCCTTGAAGTCAATCAAGTTTTTTATTTGCAAAGTTAATAAGAATTAGCAAAAAGAAAGCAATTTAGCTAATTCTTGCCATTAATTTCTATCATTTATCATCAATATTTAGAATAATAGACTATTCTGCCACATAAAATCAATTTTAGTAACCACTGAAATAATAGAAACGAACAAAAAAGTGAGTGTTTCAAAATGTAAACCAGTTGAAAGTAAGAGAGTATGCAAAATGTATGTTCCAATCACAACCTAACAATGCACCTACAAATGAAGTTTAGGTAAACAGAATATTGATGACCATCTTTTGAATACTGAACTTTCATTGGGAAACAAAAAGCATTTAGTGACATCATCAACATGATTTTCATCCAAGGTATTCTTGAAGTGGAAAACAGAAATCTTACCCAACATCATTACACAATTTACCCAAGGCTAAAGCCATCATTTTTCTACATATATTAAGTGTAAAAATCTTGATAATCACGCAAATGATATCATCAATACATGATAACACCAATGCTAACATAAAACATGTATCCAACTTCACAATGAAACTCAACATATACCTGTGTATGTCAAAATCAGGGTGCCCCAAACGGCCCCCCCTTCCAAACCCCCATGTATACACTTCCCCACGAGCAGTAACTGCCACACTGTGAAACTTTGCAGCAGAAATCATTTTTATCATCGACCCATTAAGAGAATCAACTTTGCATGGTAACTTTTGAATATGTGCATTTCCAGTTCCAAGCTGATAATTTGTGCCACTTCCCCAACTGAAAACCTCATTAGCCACTAAAGATGCACAAAAAATAAGGCTGTCATCCTAGGTGTGTACTTTCTATTGGCAACAACAAACCACACCATACCAAAGTAGTCAAAGCACAAAACTTATACCTGAATAATGTTCATTATCAAAAACCTGAGATACAGAGCCAGATAACAGATCTACAGGTATCCGATATTTAGAGTCCTCCAATGTAGTAGATGCAGCATGCTGAAGAAGGATGCTTGCCACAGCAAGATGACCAAAATGCAGAGCCCTGTGAAGGCTAGTCCATCCTGATTCTCCATCCTGAAAAAGAAGTAAGTTTCAACTTTAATGGATCCTAAGAGATAAAAGAACTAGAAGTAATCTAAAATAGCCCATAAGCAGACACTGGGAAATAGATAGATCCAATTTGGTGACACTACTAGTCTACAAATTTCAATAAATGATCAAAAGTTTTTTAGCTTTAATCATAGCCGCAGTCAAACAAGCTGAAACTATTGTAGAAACTAGACACATATCCCCACTTTATCAGCACCATTCTTTGATACTAGAAAGTATCATTTAGGTTATGTTTCGCAGTGTTGAACTACAGATGAAATGCATGTAACCTACAAGGAACCAACATTTTAAAAACCATATTTATTTGTTTACTGAAGGAAGAACATCAACAATTCAATTTCTAAGCCAAAGCAGCCAGTCAGTTAGGAACAAAAGATAACGGGAAAACAGAGATGATTTAGCCATTTATTACATCATAATTATTTAAAATGTACCAGTGCAGAATAATAAAACAATTGACATGGATACTTACCAGTTACAATGCACAAAAATGATAGGCCAAAATAATAAAATGAGGTCACCATGACATCATAAATGTAAAAGGGAGCATTAGTCTACATTTGTATCAATGGTGAAAATATAATTGTTAAATTTAGAATTAAATCTAATTAAACCTCAAAAGCTAGCTCGCAAGATGAGAATTGTTTGAACTTTTATAAAATCTTATTTGGTCATATTTGTAGTTGATGATGCCAAATAAGATCAATTTTAGAATTCATGAAGCTAACACTAGAAATTGATATTAGATGTTAGTCTAAGCATAATTTTATTTATTATTTACCACACCAAGGTTTTCAAATAAAAGTGGTGGAATTGCAAGCTCACATAATTTAGGTGAAAACAAATGTGAATATGTGAACATTTTTTAAAATATTGATAACAATTTATTCATCCTAAATAATAATAATAATAATATCATATCAGGACATTTCACATTCTTACAAATTTGTCTCAAACAATTAGTTTTATGACAACAATACTTTATCTTTCTCATCACTAAATTCTAAAGCTCAATCATTGTTGAAATAATATAAATGACTTAGGAATCTTAGTAAAATCTAAGACATTTTCACAAAATATGATGAATCAATGCAATAAAAGTTCAATGAAGGAAAACACTAAATATTTACCTGTTAAAATTTGATCTCAAGAAATTTTAAATTACTTAAGCACATTCAACCAAATCATTTTCTGAATTCAGCCATGGAAACATCCAGTAAAGTAGTTAAACAATTATCTAGCAAGATTTAATGCCAAAGAGAGAACTAGTATAAAACAGAGAATGTAGAATGGTCTTTAGAAAGTTATACCAGAAAAAAAAAATTGTTTTCTCTCAAGTATTGAGAAATGAGAACTAATTATGAAGTAAATAACAGAGATACAACTTCCTAAAGCAAGGAAAACTAACAAGTAACAACTCTTATAGAAAAGGCCACATGCATATCCGTAAGAATTCACAAAATAGACTGTGACATACCCGAGCATTAGGATCTGCACCAGCTGCGAGCAGCCTTCGCACTATGGGGACATGGTTTCTCCAAGTTGCTATTTGAAGGGGAGTAAGCCCAAAGGCATTCCTCAAATTGATATTGCCCCCACTCTTCTTCAATTGTGTCAAGGCCAACTCTACATCATTTAGTGATCCTTCACGCACAGCAAGCCACAGGTCTGGCCCAACAGATAAACTTTTGCAACTTGGTGTCTGCAATTTCTGCCTCCGTGGAGAAGCACCTAATTCCATGATTATAAAATGCTCACTCCAAGTATATAAGTTCTCTTTCACGTTATCCTATCATAGATTAGAAAGGTCACTCAACTACAATGGCATAGCAGTTATATTCCTCTAATCTACTGCCTGATAATGTCAAGAGTCAGATCCTCTAAAACTATTTCACTTCACTAAACTACTACTGAACTCAAAAGAATAACTGCTCTGGCCCTTGAGTCCTCCGGTGATCTAATCCATGCTAATGGGATATTGCAATCAAAATATCAATGAGGGATCCAGTAACAAAAAGGATTGATCCTCTGCTATTTTGTCTTCATCATCATCACCATATGTATCATGTACACAAACAAGTTGCAGAAGCCAATGATGAATCCCAGCACGGTTCATGGGGCACAAAGCAATCTGCTATAATAAAAGCAACCGTGATGTTGCAGCTCCATTGTTAGCAAGACAAATCTTGTGGGAAAATAATAATACTTAGGGAAGCTGGTCATACAAACATCCACAAGCAACAAAATGCTCTTGGCACATACATATTATTTAATAAAACTCTTATAATTGAAGTAATTAAATTATTCCTATGCAGAAAAAAGGATTCAAAGCAAAATGATGATAGTACTATAGTCTCTAACAAAAAAAATGTGGACTGAAATTAAGGAGAATACTAAACTCTGTTGTTCATTGACTACAGTTCACATCCCACAGATTATTACATCTGAAATATAAACTCTCCATTGATGCATTGTTATAAAAACATAAACATAAAAATCAAGATGCAAACTTTGAAAAGGAAAAGAAATCAAATACAGTGAATCTTGATCTCTGAGGAGTCTTCAACTGATCAATGCAGTTAGAAACTCATTCATCACATCCATTTCAACAAATACTATTTTTCAAAAGAAACAATGAAACGAACAATTGAATCAGGAAATGACAACAGCCACACCAGAACACAGCATTCAGAACAACAAACACTCCCAGCTCCACCAGGCCAAGTATAAACAATACTGATAAAAAAAATTCAATTTTTTTTATAAAAAAATACAAACCTGAGAAAATTAGAGCTCCCACAAATAAAAACCATTCACCCCACTGCACAGAACATAATCCAAAACCCAGTAATGTAACAAGAATCACTACCACATATAGGGCTTGAAAACATGAACAGAAATGTAACACCCAACCATCATGCTAAGATAACATCTTTTTTTCACAGAAAATGGAAAATGGGAGAAAATTGAAGATGCCCAGATAGCCAAAAACCGAATTAAAAATACTGGAACCAAAAAGTGCAAAAATTTAATGAGAAATTGAGGATTAAACTCACCACCACATAAACATATCACAAAGACATTAAATTAATGAGAAAGCATGTCTCTCTTAATTAGAGCGTTGAGTTGAGAAGTTAAGACGCTGTGATTTCTGTTAGGTACAGTATCGAAACTGAGAATATACCCTTGCAACAATGGCATAACATAAACAGAGGGGTATTTTCGTAATTTCGAAGTATTTTGTTTGGACCGAAACGCAGCTGACTCGGCAGAAACTAGCGAGAGCGTCAACAACGATGTCTGAGTTGTCGCTTCGGCAAAGGTCCGAGTGATGCCACGCAAAACAAGTGTGTCTTTCCGTATGACACGTGGCATGTTCCAATTTTGACGCGTGCTCGAAAATCTAAAGGCTTTTTAATTGCGATGCGCTTCTTTTAATTTAAAGAAAAAAATTGTTTTAAAGATACACTTTTCAGCGTTGGTGGCTGCCATTGGTCCATTGCCAACTCTCCTTCAACACCTTCAAAGGTAATGCTTTGACGTCACTGAAACATGGTTGAATAATTATGTTTCTTCTTAGCTTATAAAAATTTTAATTATTGAATAATTTCTATGTTTTTATAATAATAATAAATATTTGTATATTTTTATTTAATACATACTTTATAAGTAATAAAATATTATTAAAAATTATATAAGAATATAATAAATCTCAAATATATTTTTAACTTTTTTTTAGAATTTTCTATTGTTTATAACAGAAGTAAAAAATTATTTAATGTTTTTTTAATAATTTAAAATATTTTATAAAGTGTATTTACTATTTTTATTTATGTATTCATGGATTTATAATACATATATTTTTATACAAAAGTTATTTAAAAGAATAAATGTCACTCCCAACAAAGATTCTCACTTTAATTTACCAATTTTCAAAAAGTAACTCCTTCGTTGAACTCAATTTCAATTCATCACAAGTTTCTAATTCTTCATAAAAAAAAATTCATAGATTGTTATTTAAATTATGAAATTAATCCAAACATTCTAATTCAAAAAATATTATTCAAAAATAAATATTTACTATATTATAAATATGAAGTTATTTATACTTTGGGTGATTTCAAGATAGCCCACTACCAATAGCTAATATAAACATCTTGGATTGACAATGGCTCAATATCTAATTTAAGTGAGGCAATTAGTTGAAGAACCATTAAGATACAATTACTTTACTTGCACATTTCTATGATTAAGTCACTACAATACCTTGCTCATACATCACTTTACCCTTATAATATAGTCATTCAACATTGGTATAAATTTTTTATATCAACTTTTGAATAATTTGTTATGTTTTAGTATTTAATGAATATTTTTATATTAAAATAAAAATAAAATATATTTTTATGTACATGACAATAACTTAAGATTAAAAATAAAATATTGTATTATAAAAATAGTTTTTTTTTAAATTATGGTCACTTATTTAAATAAAACTCTTAAAATTTAAAATCAAATAACTAATACATACAGTGATAATAATAAAAAATTTAAATTTTAAATAAATAATACATAAAATTATATATATATATATATATATTCTGTAAATTTTACAAAATTTAAACTTACTTATTTAATTAAATAAATATATTTAGCCGGTAGCTTATCATATGTACATCCTTATTTCCCTCCACTCTGCATCTCGTATGCATTGTATTGTTGCAACTTTACTTCTAAACTACATTGTTCTCATCTTAGGCCTAGGTGATACAAATCAATTTTAAACATATAAAAAAATTATTTAAGATTTAACTTTTGTGTCATCAAATAAATTTGTGATATACATTTAATACATATCAATTGTAAAATCTGTTGAAATACATCATTTAAATACTCAATTTTTAATTAATTTTATATAATATAATAAAATATTATTAAATTTTAAAAATAATAATATAGTATATTTAAAATTTTTTATGGAAGGGTGTTAAGGATGGATCTAAAATTTTCTGGGTGAAATGGAAAACGATATGTAGACCGCGGAAGAATAGTGGCTTGGACATTAAGAATGTGCAATGATTTAACTGAATACTTCTTGGTAAATGGATGTGGCGAGATGTTAATTGTTCTAGTTCATTGTGGGTGCTGGTGTTGGAATCTAGGTATGGTAGATTAGTCTCTTCTATTCAGAATTCATTAGTTCACAACAGATGTTCTTTGTGGTGGCGTGATTTGCTAGAGGTTATTCATCAAGGGAATTCATGGCTGAATGAGAAGATTGATAGGAATGTGGGTGCAGGTTTACACACTCTTTTTTAGAGAGATAAGTGGGTAGGCGGAATGCGATTGTGTGAAGCATTTCCGCGATTATTTGCGGTGGCAAAGAATGCTGAATCATGCGTATTGGAGAATGGTTTTCATGATGGCAATAGGTGGGTTTGGGATGTTAGTTGGCTAAGAGGGCTCTTTCAACATGAGATCTCAAGTTTTAATCTTTTGTTTGAGCTTGTGGATGAAGTTTCTATTAAGTTACTACAAGAAGATAAATGGGTATGGAGGGCAGATTTTTCAGGTTGTTATTCAGTGCAATCTGTGTATTCATGGCTATTTAAACTTTTTGGGGGTCCTAATAGTGTAGATCAGTATACGACAGATGCCTTGCAAAGACTATAGAGAGGAAAGGTTCATCTTAAGTGTCTGGTATTTTCTTGGCAATTGTTGTTGAATGCACTTCCTTGTAAAGGTTTGTTGATTGATCGTGGTGTTCAAATTAATGATATAACTTACTGCTTCTGTCATGGTTTTGAGAAACTTCCAACTCATTTATTTTTAACGTGCTCAGTTTCATCTCAAATCTGGTACTTGACTGCGCTTTGGCTTGGATTCTTACTAGTTTTTCCTTCAGATTTATCGACTCACTTACTTTCTTAGGTTGGTGTTGGCTGTAATAAAAGAGAAGGAATGTGTTTATTAATTATTTAGGTAAGTACAATGTAATCTTTGTGGTTACATAGAAATAGAATTGTGTTTTCTAATAGTATTTTGGATGAGAGAGAAGTCCTAGATTCTATTATTCTGAGGTCCTGGAAATGGCTATCACTTGTTAGTAAGGGAGAAGCTATTTTGTTAGTTGATTGGTATTTGCAACCATGAATTTGCATCCGTCTTAACTTTGTATAAGTATATTTTTGTTTTCTATTTCTCTAAGTAAGTAATTTTTTTCTCTATGTATATGGGTTTTGAGTTCTCTTTGAACTCTCTTTAATAATATTTATTTTGCCTATAAAAAAAAGTATATTTAAAATTTTTATTTAATAAATTATTTTGATATATAATATTTATACAACACATATTATTATAAAAATTATTTTGTTCTTTTGTTAAAACCTTATTTATGTTTTGAGTGACAATGACATCGATATCAGCATATATAGATTCAAAATATTTGTTTATAAGATGATTCTTATGATGCTTCAAAAATTAAGAGAAAGTTTATTTTATACTCTTCAAATGTGAAATAATTATAACAGAGTTCCACCCCACAAAGTTTTAAGTGTTTCAACTGCAGAAAACAACCAGGTTCTTGCTCCCAACTAATATAAAAAGATGTTTTTAAATTATTAAACTATCTTAAGGATCATATATATTTATTTTATTTTGCAATGAAACTGAAATTATATTTATTATTAAATCTACATTAATTAATTCACTAATTAATGGGGTTAAAATTAATTTATTACTATATATATAATAAATACAAACATAAAAAATAATAATAAATATCCATGCTTATTTAATTAATTTTTAGAAAAATATTGAAAAATAAAGAAGCTTATAATATCTCTTATTTTAAAACCTAAGACACCTTAAGAATATTTGTGATCTATAGTCATTAAGCCATTTATAAACCTTTCTATTTTTATTAATTTTTCAAAAAAAAAATTCTATAATTTAAAAAAATTTCACCAAATTCTTATATTTTTATGAACTTTTAAATCCCTGCTTGACTACTCGTTAAATATCAACCAATCTCTATGTTACTCTTTCGCTCACTATTTATCTATTACTGCCCCTTGACCACTTTTTAGTTGTCTCAAATTATTTAGTACTTCAAAATATTAAAAAATGTACGTATAACCTTTTTCTAATAATACCATTATTTATTAAGAATAAATTTTACAACTAACAACTAAAATAACTTTAAAATTTGTCAACACCTAACTACTTTAATAAATTCAACACTTTTAATAGGAGTATTTTCTTAAAATGTGTGCATTAATATTAAGTAACAACTAATATGAAACAAAAGCAATATCTATCTATTTCTCTTTCTATTCAAATTTTGTATGAAAATTTGAGATATTCATATGATTCATAAAATGTTACTTTGTCTTGTACTGTCGTTGGCTTTTTGCTGCCTCCTCTGTCTCACAATTTTCCTCCCTTTTATTTACAAACTCTTAGAAAGCATTAGATATATAAATATAATGGCCATTCTCTTTCTGCTCGTTTCAAAGCTATTCAAATGGTACGAATGGAGCAATTATTGGGTGGCATAACACAATTAAGCATGTGTTTAAATTGACGTTGAAAAATTCATAAACATGAATCCAACACATTATTGAACTCATTATTTTAAACTTTACAATAAATATATATGAACTCATTAGTAAATGGTTAAACCAAACACATTTTCATTGTTCAGCTACTCAAAATGGAAAATTTAAATTTGAAAATGAAAACACAATGGAAATAAAAAAAATATTTTTACAAAACCAAAGTTTGTTATTTATGTTTGTTTGCTTAAGTTTATAATTTTTAAAAATTATATTTTAAAACAATTTTAAAAAAAATTTTAAAAAATGAAAATAAAACTTATGTCAACAAACAAATTTTATTTTATTTTTACTTTGATAAAGAAAAAATTGCTTTTAAGTACAGAAAATAAACAAGCTCTTAAGACTTGTTTGTTTCAGTTTTGATATTTAATTTTTAAAAATTATATTTTAAAAAATTATTTTTAAGAAGAAAATGAAAATAAAATTTATGTTAACAAACAAATTTTATTTTATTTTTTACTTTTAAAATAAAAATTATTTTTAAAAACTGAAAACAAACAACCTCTTGGTTTCATGTTTTCATTTTCTATTTTTACCTTTAATAACAACTTCCACCTTGTTTTTATTTTATTTTTTCAAATATTTGTATAGAAAATATTATAATTTTTTTGGCAGTTTCCTGTGTAAATATTCAAACATAAAAAATAGAATAAAAATAAAGTGATAGTTTTGATATCAAAAGTAAAAACATTAAAAATAAATAAATCTAAAACCAAACAGTCTCTTACATTCACAGCTAATTTCTTCAACAGAGAAAAATAAAGTAAAATGAAAGGGAAGAACACTTATCACACTTATATATAATTTCATTTTCACAAAAAAAAGAAGAAGCTAAAGAATAAGAATAACACAATTACCACTGCAAAATTATAAAGCAGCAAACCAGAATGGGAAAAAAAATAATATATATAATAGGATTAAATGGACCACGACACTTGCCACATGCAACTGTTGAACAGAGAAAGCAGTACATGCCCATCTGGTCTTATATCTCAATCAAGAGTCTCCATAACTCGAATTTAATCCAAACATGCTCGGAGAGAGATCTTCATCAAAGGTTTGATGAAGTAACCACAAATAACAAAATTCTGGTTCATGCAGCCACTGGTGGTTCCTGCAAGAGCGGATCAAGACATCAAAGATTGTAACCAAGAAGAATCGACAATTCAGTTCAAGATTAACAATTGGAGCACAAACCCAATTCCTCTTTCTACATAATACACTTTTTACACTCCACCATGCACTTTATAGAAAAATGAAACAAAATCACAAAACAAATTATTATTATTTTTATTATCATCATCATCATCATCATCATGCTGAATTGTATTTGTTGTCTCTGTAGTTTAGATTATGTGCAATTGACCTCGCAAGTTTTTTTCGACCTACTTAAAGCTCTATTTTTATTATTATGTAAATTTGATTTCTCGTCAATTTTCTTGTATCCCTTAAATTGTTTTTTTCTATCCAAATATTTGGGAGTCTATATTTTGAGATATGAAACAGTTTTTAAAAATTAGAGGTATGAAATTTAATGAAACTAGATAGTCCAAAATGCAGTTAACCCTTACGACCATCATCATATTCTTTAAAGTGACATTGCAAGAGCAAAACCCACCTTTGTTGTCAAGTTTGATACAGCCAAATGAAACTTTTCTCTAGTTTTAGTACCAGCCACTTGTCCAACTTTAGCCACCTTAGTGAAAGCACCATTTAACCATGCTGTTCCAGCAGTCACATATCTGCAGAGAACCAAAGAACCATATAAATTTCTTTTGACGTTGTGATTTCTTATTGCAGAAACCAACTACAAAATCATAGCAATTACATGCCGAAATTCAAATGCAGAGGCAGAAATAGAGATCATGTATTCGATACATCAACATCAATCATTCGAAAAATGAACTAACCAGAGGCGACTCAGTTTAGTTTCTCAAGTTCCAGCTTTTTTTAAAATGTTCTTGGTATTAGTTAGGCCATGGGTCAAAAAGGGTCCAAAGAAATACATTGCTGTCGGGAGAAACATTCATATCAAGGAAAGTCCTATACCCTTCAATCATCAACACTTTCAAGGATACAATGTATATCACAATAAATATGAAGAAAAATATTGAAATACTTACAAATTTTAGTGTAGGGATCATCATAAAATTTCTTGTCTATAAAAGGCTATAACAGTGAACCTCAAAGCTTATTTTTGTAGATAACTCTGCTCGTATCTCACAACAAATAATGTAGCCACCATGGTTCAGTGCTACCTTAAGTGATTTTTTTTTTTTTTTTATGTAATTCTGTTCTGCTGCTCACATAAGTTGAGGAATCAGATGGATTTCTCCTAGGAAAATTCCATCATGCAGGACAATAGACTTCTAATTTTACTAATCCACCCATTGAACATGCAATATTATTCTCATGAAGATCATGCACGTCAAATTTACAATATACCAGACATTCATCAATTTCTAATCTTATAGTTGATATTAAGCCAGTTTGGATAAAATTCTCTATAAGCATTCACAAGAGAAAAGTATTTTCACTTTTAGTACAAATTTGTTTTACTTTACATCGTTAATTTCTTTTTATTTTTTTCTTCTTCTATAACAGCTTATTGAGAAGTTAAGCCAAATTGAACCATTTACTAACAGACAAAATGCATATCATAGGTAAAAGTAGTAGTTTGATAAGTAGTCAACTGATTTTTAAATTTTATGAGCTGGATCTATGGATCTACTCCATGAAAACTTTCGATCCAATAGAATCGATTCCAACTTTCAGAAGAAAAATATTTTAATGGAGTATGTCAAGACTTTCTATTAAGTATATATCCACCCTACTATATATATAAAGAGATACTACATACTGTTTATAAGAAGACCTGACTAACCTGCTTGTTTTGACAGCTGATCCAGTATCATTCAGTTTCCTCTCAGCTGCAAATATTGCTGCCATAGTCTTATTTGAGACATGAAGCCTCTGATCAACAGATTTCACTTTCTCATTCACCACGGAAATGCCAACTGTTAATTTCTCTGTCAATCCAACTCTCTTGTCAAATGAAATGACCTTTGCAGATGCATTTGCAGTCAATTGATGCTTTTCATCAAATGCTTTAGCTTTGTTCAAAGCATCTTGTCTTATTGCTGAACCTTTCACCAGCATACTTGAAACAACATCTTGTGCTCTATTAATGTACATTTTTCCATTGGTGGGGTTAGCTTTTTCCTCCTAAAAGACAGAGTACAGCAAACCATAAGCTCAAATTTAAAGTAATAATATGCAAACAGCACTGGTAATATTTGGCTCACTTTGCTGAATGGACCGTTGAAGATTATAAGCAAGCAATACAAAACTGACGCAAAACCCTAAAAATAGTTAGTGTTACTGACATAAATTACTTAAAAATTCAAACTTGGAAGTTGGAACCTTCGTGTAAAACATTTGTCTTGATTGCAATTTCAAAGTAACATGTACAATGCAGGCAGATGGATAGGGAAAGCCCTCAGAACAATATTAATATTTTCCATATCTTTTCACCCAACCTTAAGTTCCCATGGAGAACAGCTTATCAGGAAAAATAGAGCATGCAAAATCTTAAATCTGGATTTTGGTTTTTACCTCAATATTTGTTGAAACATTTTCAGAAGGAGCAATATTTATAGCATTTTCTACCATCCTTACTTCCTGCATAAATTGCAATCAATCATTTCCAAATTTATCATCAATATGAATATATTATATAGGAGTTCTTGACATACTTACCTGCAGCTCATGTTTTGGTACATAGTTCTCAGCTGCAGTTATACTCACAATCTGGTCTACTAATGTTGCTCCCTGACAGAAAGGCAACATAAGTTTTGCTTTTACATGCCACCAAGTGCAAAAGCTCATAAAAGTTGAGTAAGTTCCCAGGCCAATACGAAAAACAAAATGTGATCACATCAAAAGACAATAGACCAAGGAGGAAAGCATTTGAACCAAAATCTTAAAAGTTGAAAAACACAATCATTTATACATTATTAATGTCTTGAGAAAATACAGTCCTACTCCGCTAATTGAAGATTTATGGCATTGAGAATACAATTGCAAGAAATTTGTCACTGCAAATGATAATGCTGGCACAAAAGCTTAAACGGTGGTAAAAATATCATAATTTTTATTTTGCTTCATTTTTTACGTACAAAACCAGAACAGTTCTATACTTGCTCTGTCCATAACAGAAGCCATAAAATGACCTTGAAGATTCCAATTTCATCATCTGACAACACAACCCATTACACATCATTCAATAGGAGTCACTTTCCTTCATTTTGACAGGGGCACAGGTTCAGAATGTTCACCATTCAAAAACCATGATACTATCAACACTTTCTGTTGATGCTTCTAGGAATATGAGTTCCAAACAATCAAGCATACAAAATTCAGAAGTAAACAAGTTCACTAGGAAAAAACAAAGACCATACCATGCCATAAAACACACTTTAAGTATATGACAGGTAAGTATGAGGCACACTAATTTGAGCTTAGAGGCAAATATTGGACACCATACCAGGTCACATGTCATAGTGTCACACAGTTTAAGTATCTTAGATCAATAATACATGTGTTAAGATGTCACATATTTGTTAGAAATAAGGTTAAGATCCTCCTCTCTTGAACTAGCTTTTAGGAGTAAATTAAACCTAGTTTTCGAGTATAGTATCAGAGTTTATCCATCAAATAAACAGTTCTAGGTGTAAGGGGGGTATCTTAAAATGTTCCACATTGACTAGGAACATGATTAAAATAATTAAAAGACTTGGGCAATTCTCTTCTCTTGAACTAGCATTTAGGAGTGAGTTCAGCCAAATTTTTCAATACTATGAGATGTCAAGAAAATAGGAGACATAAACAATAAGATTCAAAACAAGGTGGATGAAATGGAGTTCTTTGGATGTTATTTGTGATAAAAAAAAGTACCACTCAAGCTGGAGGGAAAATTTTAATGCACAACTATAAGAACTATGATCTTGTATGGGGTTTGATCAGGTGGTAAACAGCTAATAAGAAAATAGGCTCAATGTTGCAAAGATGAAAACGTTATGATAAATGGGTGGACACACAAGACAAGATAGCATTAAAAATGAATACTTTGGAGGAAAAATTGGTTTACCAACTATTTAAAATTGATGGTAACATCATGCCTTGGGTGGTTTGAGGGAAAAGACCTAAGCCCGAATAAAATGAGTAGTTCAAATAAAGGGTAGTCTGATAGTTAGAGGTAAAAGGGGCAAAGAAAAACTATTGACCAAACCATTAAGAACAACAATATATACAATAGGATTCAATTTAACTAGTTTGTAATTATACATGAATAACAATAGGATATTATGGCATTATTTGATCCATGTAGCCGACCTATCTAGTAGGAAAAAAATTTGGTGTTGAATCTATAACTTTCCCCGTTTGATTCCACATTAAGTCTGCATTGAAACTCTGTTCTCTGGCAGTGAAAATTGTTAAGAAACTTGGGCCTAACTTACTCCCAAAAGCTAGCTGGAGGACTATCCTAACCCCTTATAAGGAGTATTCTACCTCTATTTCTAACCAATGTGGGACATTTTAACAAAAATAAATCACTCCCCCAAAACCAAGTTTGAAGTAACATTGGATATGTGATGTCTGCAAATGTAAACAAACAGATCCTAAATCCAAGCTTAGAAGTTCAAAGTTAAAGGTACTCGATAAGTGTCTAATCATCCTTCTCAAAACTGTAATGAATCACTTTCAAAATTTGATACACATATGAATTAAACACCAACTGAAACTGAAAACCAGTTTCCCTCTTTTGACTTAGTCAAGAAAAAAAATTACTACAAATCAAACTTGATACACCAACAAATATATAGAATAAATGATTAAAAGAGACATACCGATAACAATAATGCTATTTCAAGCGCTTTTGGGTCTTTAAATGTCACAAATGCTGTCTTTGATTTCCCAGTTACACTGCAACAGACAGAAGCACTCAACCATAAACTTGATTACTTAAAGTAAGCAAAAAGAAGTTGAGTTAAATAGGTGCAACATCTGAATCCAAAGTACAGTTTTTTCAGAGTAAATCCTCATTTAATCCCTAAAATTATAAGCATCAGTCACTTTAATCCCTAAATCTTCACTTTAGTTCTTGACTTTATAGAAGAGAATTCATTTTAGTCCTTTTTCACTTTATTTTATTATCCTTTTATATATATATATATATATATATATATATATATATAAAACTAAAATAAATGTCATTTTATAAGGATTAAAGGAGGATTTTGTAAAGTCAAAACTAAAATGATTGATTGACGCTTACTTTCTGAAGGACTAAAAGGAAAGTCTAATTTCAAACCTTCAACACAAAGGACTAAACAGTAACAACAAGCATTCAGTTCACTTTTAACTACACTTCCTATGTTAGCATCAGCAAGGATGCTAAGATATGTAATAACAGCTAATCCCAGCCCTGTTCTGTATTTAATGCATGTATGTGCCTGTATATACATATACACGCGCACATAAAAATCAGAAGTAAGAACACCCCATGATATTTTTGTTTTTCTTTTCCACTCCTTAACTTCCTTTCTCGGCATCAAGCCAGAAATTCCATTAAAACTAACAATTAGAAATTAACTGCAGAAAATTAGAAATTAAAAAAATTGGGCATGTAAAGAGAGGAAAAAAAAAAAAAAACCTTTGGATCTCAATGTGTTCGATTTCTCCAGAAAACGAGAAGAACTCGTGAATCTCTCTCTCACCAGCTAGATCTGAAACTGGCTTGACTTGAACCGTTCTTGTCTGGAATTAAAAAAGACCAAAATAACAAAGACCCAGAAAGGAAAAACCGAACAAGACTCAAATTGCGAATAGAAAAACAAAAAAAGATTAAAACTTGAAGGAGTTGAAGTTTGAGTTCAGTGAAAAGTAACCTGCATTGTAGTTTTGTGTAGCAGGTATGTGTATTTTGTATTCTGAAAACTTGGTGGCAGAGAAAGAGAGAGAAGAGGTTGTTGCAGGAGACAGGTTGGAGTGATAGTGTCACCAAGCAGTGTGGAGTTGCATATTCGACAAAGAGATGAGAGAGAGAGAGAGAGAGAGGAAAATATATGAATGACAGAACAAGCACGTAAAGTAAGGAATGAAATTATGATTATGATGTTGCATCTCAGGTCAAGAAAGAATAAAGGAAAAATTAAAAAATAATGCAAAGCTCTTGTACTTCCACAAATGTCCCCACTCTTCTTTTTAATTTAAGACACTTTTTTTTCATTTGTTACTTTTATGATTATTTTTTCTTATTTTTAATACAGAGTTCAAAGTTATTGTATAAATATATAAAAATTAAAGAAAAAAATGAAGAGAGATATTAGTAAAACTTGTTTAAAATTTATTATAAATTATTTAATTTATTTTTAGTTTAATAATTTTTTTAATTTTATTAAAAATTGCGTTAAATAATATATTTTTAACACTCCATATAAATAAAAAAAATTGACTTATATAATTAATTGAAGAAATTACTGAAATATTTATATATACAAAATTTTATATTCATGAATATATAATTTAATAATTATTATTTATAATATTTTAAATAATACATTACATTCAAATATTCAAGATTTATAAATTATTAATCATAGTAAATAATATAAAATTTTATAAATTTAATCTATTTATATAAACTTTAAATTAAATTATTTGATTGACAAATTTTTTAATAAAATTACAATTATTATTTTAGTTAATATTTAGTATCATTCAAATTGAAATTTTTTAAAAAACATTTATTTAATAAAATTGTTTATATTAAAATATTACATTTTAAAGAAAAATTAAAAAGATAATAACTCTAAAAAGTTCTTGTATGGTGTGCATCTATTTGTTTTATGCTCAAAGGATGGTTGCACAAATTTTAATATCAGTAGAAACCCACTTAAATGGAAGATTTAAATTTATGATATAATTTATTAATTTTAAATTTTAAATATATTTTTTTTATCAAAAACATCAATTATTTTTTTTTGCTGTAATATTACGGATACTTTTAAGAAAATCAATTGTGATATCTCAGCCACATATGGCTTTGTGATTTGATTTGATTTGATTAGGCACTAAATTTTAAGTAGGTGGTCCAGCATATGCATGCTTAGTTGCTTACACATCAAAATTACCAACATTATTAGAAGACATGAATGATAACAAAGACAACTACTAGAAGATAGATAGATAGATACCTTTGTAAGTGTATTTCTCTTAAATAATTAACACTTCCATAACTAGTTATGGACATAAAAGTCACCATCAATGTTATAATCGAAATTTTTAATGTATTTATTTAATATAATTTTGGCACAACTTTACTGTGGTGTCATCAATAATAGTAATAAGTTATGCTAACCATCGTTGACGTGTACTAAGCCACATTTACTACATGTATTGTATGTGTGTTTTTGAGTTTACTTATTTCATAGATATTTAAAAGGTTTATTAAATGTGTGTTTGTTTGGATAAAGTATTTATTTAATAATAAAATTCATTAAAAGAACTAAAAATAATTCATGAGAATCATAAATATTTTATAAACTCTTGTAAATAAGTCTGAGTTTTATGCTTTTCTCTTTGTTTATTTACATTTTTTAACTATTTTAAATTAATAAATTTTATGATTAAAAGTATGGTACAAAATGGTATTTAAAAATAATATATTAAACAAACACTTAATTAGCTTATGTATCCAAATGTTTTTTAATATTTTAATAAATAATTAAATAATTAATACATAAATTCTTTTATTAAAGATTGTGTTAGAAATGTGTCGCAACATAGTCGGACAAACAAACTTTAAAAAATATTTATTAAAAATATTTTTTAAAATTTAGAAAAATCACAACTAAATTTTATAAAAAAAATAATTGTTTTAAATATTAAATAATTTTTAAAACCATATACAAGTTGGAGAGTCCATGAAAGTATTAGCATCGTATAATATTTATTTAAATAATATAAAAATTTATTATAGTTTTAAAATATTTATCTAACCTTCAAATAATATTTTTACTATTTATTCTAAAAATTATTTTGACTTAATAAGTTTAATTATCACTTCTACATATTCTCATATGTGATAAAAAATTTGAAGCTATATACTTTTATATAAAATATTATGAAAAAATTGTTAATTCAAAACATAATAAAAAATTATTTTAAGACTTAAATTATATATTGTAAAATTATAATGTTTAAGAGTATGATTATACATATTATCCTATGATCAATAATACAGAAGATGAAAAACTTTATATACACATGTTTTAAATTATAAAAAAAAAAGAAAATTAATAATAAAAATAAAGAATTCTAATTTAAAATATTTTTTAATTATTATTTTAATTAAAGAACTCATATTAAAAATAATTTTTAACACAATATAAATATACATAAATTTTTCATGACTTATTAAAATAATATAAAACAATATATATATACAATAGTAAAATATATATATATATATATATACATATTAATATTATAAATATTATATGATAAAAATGAAAAATAATTTTAAATAATAAAATGATAAGAAGAAGAAAATTACAAAAATAAATATATGTAAGTTAATTAGTAAAAAAATTAATCATTTGATGAAATGAAGTTAAAATATAAATTAATTTTAAAATAAATTTATGTTGTGTGAATTGTAATGCAACAAAGGTTTTAATAAATTGTTGCATTAATATAGTTTTAAATTAATTAACATATTAAAAAATTAGTAATTTGATAATTAAAAATAAATATTTAAAAGAAAATATATAAATTAATGGATGAAATTATTAATTAAGTAGTTAATTAAATATTATAATGTGTAAAAGTAAAGAAATCACATTATATTTAAATTTTCTTTGTTTTATATTATTAGATTATCATTCTTATTATTATTACTCTTATATAGAATAATCAATAAATAAAAATTAAAAAGACTGAATTTTTAAAATATAATTAAAATAAAAATAAGAAATAAAATATTTGCACTAAATGGACTAATACAAAATACTCCACTTTTTTCTTCTTCTTCTTTTTATTTACGTTTCTAATCTCCAGATTTCAAATCCCCCTACCCAATTTATTTAGAAAAATCATAAAATAAAATAACTAAAGTAAGAATAAACATAAAATAAAACAAAAGAAACAATGACCTTGAGGGAAGAAGAGGGTGGTGGAACCCACGTTGAAGGCTGATGAGCTGCGGTGGTCAGAGGTGAAGGATGGCAAAGGCAATGGAGGGAGAGGGGGCGGAGACGACGGCGAAAGGGGATGGAAGTGGTGGTCGGAGGTGCGCGAGAGAGAGAGAGAAAGTAAGGAGTGTCAGAAACCACGCAGCAGTGGCTGAGGTGGCAGATTCCAATGCATCGACGAAGATAAGAGGTGCTCCAAATGCAAGTCATTTCAACACAGAGGAACGATGAAGACCAATTTCACAATTCATAACTCGTAAGGTTCTCTGCTCATATTTTTCTTTTTCTTTTCTTTTTTCTCTTTTTTGTTATTTTTTAACCTTTTTAGTATTTTTGAAGTTATAAAGTAGGCTATTATACTTTTCTGTCAATCTGTGAAGCCCAGGGGATGATGATGATCATAAAATATCACCACTAACAAGGAAAAACCATACAATTACCCCCTCAGCTTATAAAAATATTTTATAATATTTAAAACTGCTTATTAGTTTTACTATTTATTTAGTTAAAATTATTTTTAGTGAAATTATTATTTTTAAATTAATTTCAAAATCGTTAGAAAAGTATTTTATAATAAATTAATTTAAATAAATACTTACAATGTGATTCATTAGGATTCTTCTCACCGAAATCTTCCATCCGCCGACACATTGAAAGACAGCAACTAATCAATAAATTGAGTAAAATTATTTAAAAAAACATAAATTAAAGAAAGTTTATCATGTTTAAAAGTTAAATCTTAAAAATTACTTAAGTAGTATTTTGTTTTAAAAAACTAACCATCAATAATTTATTTTTATGCTTAAATTTTATAAATAAATTAAAGTCAACCAATAAATATTTAATTAATTAAATTATAATAAAAATGTATAAGGAAATAATTAATTAATCAATAATAAATAAATAAAATTAAATGTTTAATTATTTTATCAAATAGTTGATAATATATAAATCAACAAAATAAATACTATTTAATTATATTATATTTTTTATTCATTTAATTTATTTTAACTAATTACATAACTACAACTTTGAGCTGATTAAAAAGAAAAAAAAAAGGTCACTCATTGTAATTTAGTTTCAACATAATTCAAAAAATAAATTGTTAAGACGATGAGTTACTAAGAAAATAGCGAAGAGGTTAGAAAGGTAAAAGCAGATAAATGCGTGGCACCGTTTAATTTACCATCAAGTTTGATTCTTTTCTTCGTCAGTCAACCATACTTAAGATTCGCCCACGACTCCCCATACTTTGCTCCATTATGATATGTGCGCGCATGTAACGTGTTTTATTGTTTTCCTCAACAATTTAGTAAAATAAAATAAATACTATATCTTATTTTAACTTTTAATTTTTCAATTTATGTAATAGTAACATAAATATTAAAAAATAGTTAATATTTTTTCATACATATATATATTTGTGAAAAAAAAAGATTTGTAAGTTAAAATAATAGTAAGATATAATATTTTTTTAAAAATAAACACGGTATAAAGAATTTGTTACAATCAACATGGTTGAGAAATTATTATAATTGTAAAGGACTTTCTCATCTACAAAAAGATAAATTTTACATAAAAGATATTTAATAAGAAAAATATTCAAAATAAATAATTAAGTTGTTACTCCAAAAAATAAAAGTCTAACTTAATGAGCTTCAAAAAGCAGTGTAATCCTACGGAAAAAGTATACATGGCTAAGGATTTAAAGATTAAGTTATCTTTTGCATAGGTCTTGAAAAGTCAAAGGCAAGTTGTTGCATATTTTGAAGGAGTTGTACATGTGCTAAAATTCAGTGATAAAGATGAAGATGAATTTGCATGAAAATGAAAAGGTATTGGTGTGATTTATGTATTATTGTTCTATAAT